TTGTGCATCAACATGGCACTTTCTTGCTTACAGAAAGATCCAGAATTGAGGCCAGATATTGGGGATATTGTTAAGAATCTGAAGGGGGTTATGGTTTATGAATCATGAAGAAGACAAAAAGGTACTGCAGAATAGGTTTTTTATGTTAATATTTTTTGTTAGGCTTCATTTTTACTGTTTGTTTCATCTTGTGCTGAGTTTGAATGCACCTGTAGCGTTGAAATGTATGTTAAATGTATACTAGATGACTTTCTTGGTGCTTTGTAATGGCTTGATATATGATGGTATTGATGGTAGTCACTTTTGGTTTGTGCTTGCTGAATGGTCATGGTCTCATGAAGTTATGGACCAATCAAGTCTAAATCACATGACAAAGTCAATCATTACCAGGACAACACTAAGTATTAACCCATGAGAATGCTACTCCTTTGTCTTTTTCTTTTTCTTTTTTGAAGCATTTATCTAGCTTTTAGTATTATCATATGACATTCAAGCGTTATTAGATTTAGGGTTAAAGGACCCCTCCAAACTTTTTGTTTAGGATTTATAGGTATTTTAAATTTTATTGTGAGTCATTTTTATCTTTGAACATTTGAAATCCATTACCTCATCACCTCAATGTTAACACGTTTAAATGGCTGTTATATAGGCCCCACCATTTGCATTTTTTATAAGAGTTAAGGGTAATTTTTGTCTTTGAACTTTTGCTTAAAGTCTGCGAGTAATTTGAACTCAATGTTGGGTCATATTTGTCCTTGAACATTTTAAATCTATTGCCTCATCACTCTATTGTTCACATGCATAACAATTTCATTAATGGGCTCATGCTTTGTTAAGCTGGTATTTTTTTTAAAATATTTTTTGTAATAAAATATTATATGAGGTTCCAATCTTCTTCTTCCCCTTCCCCTCTCCCCCCTCCACGTTATCTCTCCTACATTCTTCTCCATTGCAACCTAGTTTCGGAGTAGGTTCAAAATTGGGTTGCAAAGCATGGAGAGAAGATTGGAGGAATAAAGGAAAGAGAGAGAATGGAGGGATAGAGGAGAGAGGGGAGAGGAAGAAGAAGATTGGGATTCACATATAACATTTTATTATAAAATATTAAAAAAATGCTAGCTTAGCAAATAGTGTAACCCATTAACTAAACTATTAGACTTGTGGATGGTAAGGTGATGACGCACTGAATTTCAAATTTTTAGGAATAAAAATAATCTAAAATCAAGTTCAATGTAATTGTAAACCTTAAAGGAAAAGTTTGAGGCAAAAATGACATTGTAACCTTGTAAAAAATGCACAAATAGTGAGATCCACATAACACCTGTTAAATATGTTAATGTTAAGGTGATGAGATATTGAAATTTAAATGTTTAAGGATAAAATAATTTCAATCAAGTTAAGAGTACCTAAAAACTCTAAGAAAAAATTTAAATATAAAAATAATATTTAACCCTTAAATTTAATTGGAGATAGCATTTCCAACGGACTAGGGATGTCTTCATTTTTTTTCCTCCCTTTCCCTCCACTTCCCCCATCCCCATCATTCAAATTTTTTTTATTAAACAATTTTATATTGTTCCTGTCTTCAAACATACTCCCTCCGATCTTATTTATAAGTTATTTCTACCAACCTTATCAATACCAATATAATAAAAGTACAAGAATAAAAGTAAGTAAAATTTCAAACATGCTCCTATATAACAAATTTAAAAAGTAATGTCCTGTTACTTTTTTTCTCTCATGAAGGGTAATTTTAAAAATACCTCTCAAATATTACCTAAAAAATACACCATAATTTATAAATGAGACCAAATACACCTTCTAAAATGAGACTTATAAATGAGATCGGAGGAGTATAACTTCTTGAGTTGGCCACAAGACTGCAAATTATGACATTGTCTTGTTCCTTTAAAGTGCCAAAGAAGACAAATCCATGTCAAATCTCGAACCAAAGACGGTCCTTGCCCCCCTTACATCATTGCGCCTTTAGCAAAATTTTATTTGTTCTTTGCAAAATAGTTTAAAGTAGACTTTGGCCCCCATTTTTATTTTATTTTCAGTTTAACCGCCCAAAAAAAAAACAATAAAACTCCGGATCTGGCCCTGTCTCGGACCCAGATTTCGGTGCTAAAAAAACATGCGATCGTATCAAATCTCTTCAATATTGTTGTTAATATATTATATTAACTATATGGTAATCATGTCATGTTGATATGCTCTAGTCCTTTTCAACAAGTCATCAGTCAAATGAGGATCACATTGCCTACCAATTTCGCGACTTCTTAAGTAATAATTTTTTTTTTTTAGAAAAAAGGATTGAGTTAACCATAAAAAGATACATAAACATGTGTGTCAAATGTGTCACTTACGGGGAAACAAGAGTTGTTGGCTTTCGTAACAGCTAACAGAACCATAATAACCCTTCGTTTCGTTATTTGTCTTCTGGTTATCAATTTAAAAGTTAATTACAGATTTAAATTTTACAAGTGGCTTAAATCTATTCATTTAATGCGTGTACTAATTATAGCAATTATATTTCATCAATACTTAAAAATTATCAAATATATTTTCTGTCCAAAAATTCAAAACAATCTTTATATTCAAAACACTCTTCACATATGTTGTTCTCTTTGAAAATTTGAGATTCACTTTCTAAGTATTAGATAACAAAACATTTTACAATCATTCAATTAAATTGAATTATTATTGTCATGTCACATGAGATAATTATTGGATAAGTGGATTTAAGCCTCTCACTAGGTCCAAATCTATTAAACTGATTCTTCATATGCATGGTTTGTTATATGTTTTTCAAGTATGAATTATAGTAGGGAGAATAACATATGAGGATCATTGAAATAGCTTATTGACATATAAGTTCCATAATAATGAGCTAATCAAAGTAGAGTTCTTAGATCATTTTCTGACATTAATTTTCCTTATCAAGTTATACCATAGTGCCCATAATTTGAAATTACACCAGAGCTCTAACAAGTTATGTATAACAATTTTTTTTTTGTTGCCCAGGCATCTCCACAATCAGTAGTTGTGAAACTAATCTCTCAAAAAATTTGAGTGCCATTTAAAAGGTTGTTCTCTCCTAAATAATATTTTTCTATACAATTTGATAACTTTGATCGTAATTAATGACAACCATATATTTAAAAGTGACAACTACACTTTCACCAATGACAACTATTTTTTATAAATAACAATTAACTTGGTTTCAAGTGTTGGAGCTCAATGATAAGTTCAGAATGATAAATAACTTTTGTTACAAGTAATGGCAACTACAATCGCATCTATGATAACTACTTTTCAAAAATTTAACTAATGGATTTTAAAGATTAGTAGTCACATAAAGTTCAATGATAAGTTTTGTATAATGATTGACAACTTTGATTATTACTCATGACAAGTTGGCAACTGCAATTTTAACAGTGACAACTTAATGTCAAGAAGGTTAATATGGTGGTAATATGGCAAGAAAACTTAATGTCAAAAAAATTTCAAAAAAAAAATATAGTGTAATTAGTTCATTTTATGAGACTTACATGTCAATATTCTATTTCAATGATCACACGTCATTTTCTCGTTATAATAAGTTGGCTTTGTTCACAAAAGCACGACTCAAGAGGTGTATTTTTGAAATACTGTTATATTTGTGAAATTTAGTGTGTTTAATTCACATTAAAAATCATCAAAATCATTTTGTTTTGGTTTTTGTGGTTCCTAACATAAAATAAAAAATTATTAGATAAACTCGACACACCACTTCATACATACTATATCATATTACACCAATTCAATTAAATAATATCTTATTATTATTTTTAATGATTTTATTTTAGAATAAAGCACCTATTTAATTTATTACTTTTTCTCTATCTATTATAATCAATAACAAAATTAATTTATATTTACATTCATCTAACATGACACGCTTTTATTGAATAGAGTGTGAATAACATGTGCACTTCTCATGAAATAAAATTCACTCTTTTAAATAAGTACTCCTTTTATTTAAATTATAAGACATTTTTAACTATCACTTTCAAATAAAACAATTAAAATCATTAAAAATTATAAAATTTTTCTATATCCACCTTATTTAATAAGATAACTTAACCACAAGTAAATTAAAAAATAATCTCATTAATTTCAAATATTTATTAATAGCATTTGTGAAAAAAAAAACCCTCATTAATTACTTCTAAAAAAACCAAAATATCTTATAATTTTAAACATGATATCTCTTAAAAAGTGCCTTATAACGAATGTTAACCAGAGGCAGTAAGCTAAATAGCATCCAAAGATATTTGGTCAGGCATAGAAGATCAACCGGTCATAAATTGAGTTCAGTGCAAAATTTGAACATGATACTCCACCCTCTCTTGATTATAGGATAAAATTAATCAACTTCACAGTTTTTAAGAAGTCATGGTTAATATCCTTAAACCTGTGAAAAACATTTGATTTTCCAATTTTTCCCTTCATTAAAATTAATTATCACAACAAAATGCATGTATAAATTACAACATAGTGCAGTTAAGGAAAGGCAATATTTTTGGGGGAAAAAAACTAATTTCCACACCTTTATCTTATATTAAAACTTTGCCCAGTAATTAAGACAAGAGTACAGTCAATGATACAAGACCTCTCATCTTAAGATTGAAGGCACATGCATAGCCACGTGATTACAGCAGAATCTTCACTAACTACACATAAACTATAATTACATACAAAATGAAGAGAACATTCTTTACCGATTTCCCAGAAGCATGTATCAAACTTTAGTGCCTGTCTTAATGTTTTTACTAAAAATAGTGTTCTTGATTTCAATTCCATTTAAATGTGTGAGCATCAATCATAAGCTTTTTTTATATGTCTGGAATCTGAATCATAGCATTGAAAATGGAGTACCTTAACTAATTTAATGAAATTTTTTGTTTATGACCAATTCGATCGTGATTTTGACCAATAATTGTGGAATCAATGCCTTGAACAATTCAATAATCAGTCTAGCTTTCGATACTTTGATGTGAATTAACAGACAACAACACTCAAGTTTGGAAAGGCAACAACCTTCAGAATTGGGAATGGTATTGGTTTGACACAATCATGGAGTCTCATATGACACAACAATGTCTGGATTGAATCAGAGGAAGAATGAAAAAGAAAATGAGAATGATAAATCATAAAAATTCCTAAGAAAAAACACACTTGCTAGATCATCCAACCACACATCCAAACCAAACCAAGGCAGAAGACATGAGCAGAGACCAGAAAGCATTAATGGAAAGCAATAATGGAGCAGCAGAGGATGGGGATGAATGCTTAGCAGATTCAGCAGCAGAAGCAGGAGGAGAAGGAAGAGGATGGACAAGTACAGAGACTTTCATGCCATTGAAGCATTGGCCATTGCCACAAATGAAGTAATACCTCTTAGCCTCAGTCAAGGGTATGAAGTCTTTGCCTTTTGTCCAATTCCCAATAGCTCCCTCAGTTGTGCAGTTATCATACCCAGTTTGGTTCACCTCAAACACATTGTACTGGTTTTTCTGGTACCTGAATGCTACCCACCAAGAAAAACAAAAGCAACACAAAAATTAAAACTTCTAAAGAGTCAAAAACAACGAATTGCAGAAGTATAGCAGAGTCTTTAACAACAGTCTGAAATAGCTTAGGTCCCTTGATGAAAGAGAGAAAGATATTATTGCTTAAAGAATGAACATAGCAGAATCTTTAACAGTCAAATACAATGAGAAGCTTCTTTTTCTTCTTTCAAATCAAACACATTGCCAGAATTTTTTTTTTAAAGAAAATCTTTAAGAACAGTAGCTAGAGAACTAAAACAAAAAGCTTCATTATCTTTTCTTTCTGCCTCCCGAATCAAACGAAATGCACTGTTTATTCTGGTACCTGAATGATACTTCAAACATCTCAAGAGACAGACAGAGATTACATCTCAAAGAAGGAAGAAGAAGAAGAAGCATAGCAGAAACCTTCCTTGCTCAAAAGAGAGAAAGAAATTATTGGTTAAAGAACAAGTATAGCATAATCTAGAACAGTAGCCAGATAACTACAAGAAAAAAGCTTCATTTTCTTTTCTGTTTGCCTCCCAAATCAAACACAATGCCAAATCTCATGAGACAGAAAGAGATTAAGAACCCTTTCTTTCTAAATCTTCAGCACAGTAGCTGAGATAAGAGTAGAAGATTTCAATTTCATGACTTGTTTTGGCTCGGAAGGAAGAAAATGTGTTGGATTAAAAAAAGGAGAGATACCAAAAGGGAAAGCAGGTTCAGATCTAGGAAGGAACAAAAAGAGAGATGGTTGGGGAGAAAGGTAAAAGAAAGAGACTAACAGATAAGGTCGCCGACATAGAAAGTGTGGTTGTTGGCCCAGAGAGTGTAGTTAATGCCGGGGTTCCAGCCACGGTTGGCGCCGACGATGTGGTCGGTGGCAGAGACGGCGGAGAGGGAAGCGACGACGGAGGCGAGGACCAACGACAACGTCCACACTTTGGATGAGGAACTGGAACTGGCCATCCTTGTGCGGGAGCTGGTCTCGCTCCTTTCTCTGCGGGACGCCTCTGGCTGGCTTGCTTACGCCTTACAGTTAACTATGACGCTCGACTCAATTATTAGCATTACACCATTGCTTCACTTTTTCATTTTTTTTAAAAAAAAAATCCTCCATTTTTATATTGAGAAAATACCGATAAAATTTATTTAAATTATGTAAATAATATTTATTCTTTTAAAATGTTATAATTTTTATAAAATTTTTATAAATTTTTCTGTCATTAAAAAATTAATATAAATGATTAAATTATCATTAATTTAAACTTATAAATTGTTGTTGAATTATTGTAATTTTAAGAGAAAAAATTGTGAATATTAAAACAAAACTTGTGAATAATAATTGATATTTGTAACATTTGAAAATATCAAGATTTCAAATGTGAACTTAAAAATTGTTGTTGAATTCTTGTCATTTTAAGAAGAAAAATTGTAAATCTTAAAATAAAACTTTTAAATGGCAATTAATATTTGAATTAAAGGTAATTTAGTCATTTATATTAATTTTTTAATGATAGAAAAGTCCTTAAAAACTTAAAAAAAAAATTATGACATTACATAATTTAAAGAAAACTTTATTGTCATGTTTCCTTTTATATTTTTAGGAAATGTTGTTAATTAAGACGTTTTGTAATATCCTCCTCCTTCTAATCCCATACTTAAAATCAAGTTTCAAGTAATTAGAAAATGGGATTATAGTAATTAATAAAATATCAAGTTTTCAATGGTTAGCAAAATGGAGACCCCAAGCTTACAAAATTAAATTTTAAAGTCTTGCAATTAGACAAATTAAAGTTTACAAATATGAAAAAGTATAGGACCATTACATGTATAAGTGTATTTGTTTAAGAATTTGAAATAAGATAATTTTTGAAAAACTTTGAGGCATACACCGCAGTTCATTGAACATGCACCGCAGCATATTCGCCTCTGTGACATGCACCGTAGCTCGTGGCACCATGCGTCGCGGTGCAATTGCATGAATTTTGATAATAAATTTTGCTATCAATTTGACAGTATTAGGGCCAACTTTTGGTGCGTCTCAAATCTCCATCCGATGTCCGAATGTTGCGAACTAGGTGTCTACAGAAAACTCTTTTCGAGCTCTAACTAATAGCATTAGTCTCAGACTCAAATTATTTCTAAAATAAAAATTAGATACACTTTTCAAAACTTATACTTTTACAATAATTTTTACAAAATCAAGTGTTTAAATCAAATGCCAAAGGTCAATTGCCACCGACACCAATTTGATCATATACAAGTCATTAAGGTTAACTCGTGCAATGTACCATATCTCATGAAATACTCCCAGATTAAATTTTTACTATCCAATCCCTTAGACTCAAAAACATACAAGGGGGAGTTTACCACCATTTTCATCAAATTCTCCAATTTATCTCATAACATACTCTACTCTTACTTATATTAGTGTTTTGGTCCTATCACAACAACACATATTCATCAACTCACTTTTTAGGACCCACAATTTACAATTCACATAATGCAAGTAAGGAATAAATGAGAATTCCTAATTGAAAATTAAAATTATCATACATATAATTACTTAAAATAAAGAGACCTACTACAAAAGGATTGCAGTCTTAAACCTTTAGGTGTTTTTTTTCTATCCATACCTCTTGAGCTATTCCCTATAATATTAAAAATAGTGGGGGTGAGTATAACCATTCAGTAATCAAAGTCTGACTAACCCATATTAATGTATGTTAATTAGTTTGAATGCAAGTGACAGTTAATGTCAATACTTTAACCCATGTAAAACATTTGAAAATAGATATTTACAATTTCACTCATATAATAGCATTTACTTGAGAAACCATGCTTTTTAGTGCTTTTCATATAAAGAGAGTTGGTCACACAATTCATTGACAAATACATTGGAAGAAATTAGGACTCAACTCGTGATATCATCCTTAGGGACATAATATAGACAACCTGATGCCCTTATTCACTATATGCATGATCACACCTCTCTTATATCTTCCTTATTTCTCTGACATAAAACCATGGGCTATAACTCAATGGGTTAGTCTATATTTCATGACTTCCCTAGCCTAAATACTTGTGAGGGAATTACTTAGCCAAGGCACACTTAACTCATTTATGGAACACGGTTTACCTTATTTCTCACACTATGGGGTGTCATACATCTTAAACTAGCCTCCTCATTGAACCGGTGGATAGCTAGCTAGGTTCGAGTCTCTCATTGAACCAATAGAACAATCCCTCATTGAACAAGTGAGACAATATAGATATAATTAATCTGGCAAACCGTCTCACGGATAGGCATTACCATGTGGATTTCATTATCTACTCCTCTTCCTAGGAAAACTCCTGCCTATCAAGATCATGCAATGCACATTCATGTCATAATTCACACATATGCAATTCATAGAACATTATCAATTTTCATTGAACTTTATCATTACACAAATCATTGGACTTCTTAAATACATTTTCATGGAACTTCAAATCAAATAAGTCGTTGAACTCTAACTTCACAATCATTGTACTTTACACTTTTAATATCATTGAACTCTACTAGTTTAAATATCATTGAACTTCTCATAAACAAAGATTCATGTTACTTCTCAATTCACAAAATCATTGAACTTTCAATAAACATAATACGAAAATCCACCGATATTGTTCTCAAAAAAATTTTACATCATAAGGCATAAAATTTACAGATTTGATCTAGTGGATTTTCTAACAAATCAAGCTATACTTGCATTTCTTTTTAATTTACACATTTCAATGATAAATTATAAATCTATAAACTAATAAACACACAAAAGTATAAGATAAAATTTCCCTGATTACTTCAAACCTTTAAGAGGTCAAAGGTTTCACCCCTCAATTACTCACTCCCAAAGCTTCCAAGAAGCTTGAATGGTACCAATGATAGTTACTCTACAAGCATTTACTATGCAAAACATCAATATCCATTTTGAGCTATTTTTCACTAACACTTCATCATTTCTTAGTACTTAAGATTTATTCTTCATGTAAAAGTACCCATAAAAGCTTCTTAGCTTTCTTTAACTCTCATTAATAATATTGAGCTCTTAGATGGTCATTAATGAAACCACATTGTTTCCAACTACCATATTTATGAGAATTTTAGACATTTAATGTCCTTCAACCAGCAGTCATCATAAAATCATAAATACCAAGTTTACTTAGTTTAATCTACTCATATTAACTCTATTTAAGTTAATGGGTTCAAATTTATAACTTCTATGGACTGAAAATCATCATTTTCAATTAAACCCTAACTTCTACCATCAAGAAAATAAAAAAAGAGAGAAAGATTTAAGTAAGAAAGCTTACCTTTGGTGTTTATGAGCTCTAAATTACTCCTATAAGTCGGTTTCTTCAAGCCTTAGCTTAACTCCTTTGTTCTCTTCATTTTTCTCTTCCTCTTCTCTATTTTTCTTGCGCAGATACGAAACTGATATATCAAAATTTTGGCCATGCGCCGTAACGCATGTTGCCCTCCGTTGGGCGTATGGCACAGAGAAGCCCATTGGATTTCAAATCTGCCTCTGTGCATTATGACGGACTGACCATGCGCTGCGGTATGTGGCATAGAGAGCAAATCTTCACTTTTTCTTTCTCTTTTCTTGCCTGGGTGGCTCACCATCAATCTTAACTCACTTTTAGGGCTGAAATCACAACAATTACACCAAATTAAGCTCATCTGACTACACACCTCATTAATACACTTAATTAGTCTATTTGAGCTTAATTAATCTTATTTGAAATTAAGGATGTTACACGTTTTAGTCAATAACTTCCATAAATGTTCTATTTGACTTTCATTTACCTCTCTTAATAGGGCTTAAAATTATTCATTCCACTCTTCTTACTAGTGCTTCTTGTAATCTTCTTAGTATATGTCCAAATTATCTCAAATGATTTTCTACCATTTTTCTCTCAATCAGTGCTACACACACTTTTTCTCATATATGTTCATTTCAAAATGTATCTTTACATGTTTGCCTATACATCCATTTCAATATTTTTCTCTTTGCTACTCTAATTTTATGCTCTTGCTATCCTGTTAAAACTAACATTCACTCCTTTATAATATAGTCGATCTTATAACAGTTTAATGAAACTTCCCTTAAAGTTTATTAGTTACCTTATGATTGTAAATGAATCCTTTAACATTTTTCCAATTAAATCACCCAACTTGTAACCTATGTGCAATATCCACATTAATTTCTCATCATGTTGAATAATAGCTTTCAAATATTTAAACTTTTTCACTTAATATATAATTTGATTTCTCGATTTCATTTTCAAATTACTACTAACTGACTTCTTATCAAAATTACAATGCAAATATTTTGTCCTACTTTAACTCAGACAGAAACCTTTAGACTTCATGTCCTCCTCCATCATTCAAGTTTATAATTAATGTTTTCTTTTGTATCAGCAATAAGAACTATATCGCAAAAAGCATGCATTTGGAGATTTCTTTTTAAATATACTCAAGCAAAACATCTATGATAGTGTCAAACAAATAAAGACTCAAAAATGATCTCAATGTAGTCCAATGCTTATTATTTATAACATATTAAAACTTGTTTTTATTTCAATTTTTTACTTTTTTGCATATTGAAAGCATATATAATATACTAAGAATATATACAAAGCAACAATGTTTTTGTGTGTGTGGAGAATCTCACTTAGGGCCCCAAAACATAAAAAATTGCAGTTAGAACCCATTATAATCTCAAAATGCATTGCAAGCTTGAGAGCCCTTTATTGCAAATTTTTGTGTGGATAAAAGATACTTTTGCCCTTGTCTCTAAAATGTTTATGTATACATAACACGAAGTCCATGAATCATCAACACTATGTTTATGAATGTACAATATATTTTGTAGACATTCACTTAAAATATGTTATTTCAATGAAAGTATGTTATTCATTATGGACTTTATGTTGTACAAATGTTGTAGGTCTACATATGTCTATTGTGTTGAGAATTGATGAATATTGTGTTGTATATTTATGAATATTGTGTTATTTATTCTTTGCTTACTTATACATTTTGCTTCAAGTTAAAATGGTATCCACCAGATGTGTTGTGCATACATGAACATTCTATTGAGATAAGGACAAATGCGTCTTTTCATTCACAACAAAATTTCAAAAAGGACACTTAGGCCTATAATGCGTTTTCAAATTCTATTTAGTCTTAATGTAAATTTTTATGTTTTGAGAGCCTTAAGTGAGATTCTCCTTTTTTTTTAATAATAAGCATAAAGAATGTGGATACCGAGAGTAAAGAATAAATATTTTTTAATTAAATTGTTAGATGTATAATGCTTGGGTACCCCAACCACATTTTATTATCGTACAATTTACTTTAAAATTTGTTACCTGGTGTATGTAATAATATAAAAATAAGTTATTATGCCAATATGTTTAGAATTTATTAGCCTCATGCATATTAATAAGAGAAAACATACCTTTTAGTCTTTGTATTTTCTCGTATTTTGCTATAGATCCCTGTACTTTTTTTTAAGACCCTACATTTTTATTTTTTAATGTTTTATATTTATCCAATGTCCCTACACTTTGTTCATTTATGGACCTAGAACACCAAAAAATGAAAGTGTAGGAACCCAGAATATTAAAAAAAGTGAAGAGACCTATAGCAAAACACAAGCAAAGTGTAGGAACCAAAATGTATGTTTTTCCTAGTAATAACATAAACAATTTGTTTTATTTTAGGATTTTTTTTATCCTTGTACATATTTAAAACGTAAATAAATAACATTTCATATCCATATTAAGATTTAAGAACATATCCAACAACTTGTTTTCTTTCCATGCAAATTATTTTAAAATTTTTATGAACATAAATATTATCTTCTCTCTTCCATTTCAGGATTGAAAATAATAGAATGCAAAGAATGATGTAGGAAGTCAAAGCATAAGAAGAATTTTTTGTAGAGACTTTTTGCTTATATATGTAGGAACATTTGGAAGGAGATGCAAAAACATCTATGTAGAAGGAGCCATTTCTAACAAAGACATTACTTTCTCATATACTCAAGACATTATCAAAGACTTTAACCTTCAATCAAGATTCAGCCGCTTGGCCTTGGAATATGATAGATCACAAGCTAAGTGGCATCCACCCAAACCAGTCTTGGTGAGATGCAATGTTGATTGCTTAGTCAAAATTAATAGCATTGTTGTTTGTCCAGGTCTCATCTATGATGATGAAGGAAATTGGCTTAAAAGCTTTACTAAACACTTCTATTATTATCCCAATGATGCTACAAAATTAATATGTATTCTTAAAAGGCTTAATCTTTGTTAGAAGGATAAATTTAATAACGTTAACTTCCACATCGATTTCCTTGAAGCATCGAAGCTCAACAGGATTCCACACAAAATCACCCTATGTTTGATATTATCAAGAAAATCAAGAATCTTGTTATGAGAAATTACACTTTCAACCACGTATTTGGAATAGCAAACAATTTTGTGCATTGACAGGCTTCTAATGGTAATTTAGATGTTAGGATTTATGGTGATCCATCCCATGAGTGCATATCCAGCATGAGGTATATTGTGACTTGATTGTAACCACTTTTACATGAATTTTTTCATGGCCTATTTATTAAAAAAAATTATTACCTCATACATATATTAAAAATATAAAAAATTAATTTGTTATACTAGAATTTGTTGTTTTTACCTAATTTAAAATTTAAGCAATAAAATATTGAATTTTATAATTTGTTATTTGTCTGTGTAATTTATTCTATAATTTACTATTTTCTAACTCTGAAAAATCAATAATATAATATTTATTTAGTATCTGACAACAAGATTTTTTGCAAAATGATAATAAAATTTATTTTAATTATATAAATGATAATTTATTATCTCAAAATGTCATAATTTTATTAAAGTCCTTAAGGATTTCTATGTCAATAAATTTTAAAGTAAAAAGATCATTTTACATTTTACACTTATTAAAAACAATAAATCATAATCATAACTTTTATTTAAAGAATAATACTTTTTATTATGTGAATTTCAAGAGTTGATCAAGAAATTATAGTTTATCAAGTATAATTTATTTTATTAAAAAACAAATCCCGATCATAATTATTGTTTAAAGAATAACAATTTTTATCATATGAATGTTGAACAAAAAATCACAACTTATCAAATATAGTTTCTGCTATTGAAAAATAAATTTTCAAGATAACAAACCCTAATCTCAACTTTAGTTTAAGAAATAATAATTTTTATTAAAAAAATTGAAAGAATTGAATAAAAAATCACAGCTTATCAATGAAGATAAGATAACCTTTTTAATTTAAAATTTATTGACATAAAAATTTATAAAATTTTTAATAAAATTATAAAATTTTGAAGATTTAAATTGTGATGTACATAATTTAGAGATTCAGAGATTTTGTTGTCATTTTATTATTATTATTATTATTATTATTTTAATTGAGGAAAGAGGATAGACCATGAGCAATTGAGAGCGTTAGACAGTCGGCGGCTCTAGCAAAGAAGGCTAACGACACCGACTCACCGAGTGTAACTGAGACAGACTGAGGAAGAGAAGGAAAGTCGCGTGAGAGAGAAAATGAGCGGCGACACGAAACCCAACAATGGCGGGAACGTTGGAGGGGGATTTAGGGCAAGGTTGGATCATTACCTCTACAGTGGAGACAAGAAGCATGTCATGGTTGGCTTAGCTCTCATCACCGCCGTCTTCGGCGTCCCTTGGTACTTCATGAGCAGGGGTTCGTTTTTTCACTCCCCCAACTACCTTTAATCATCTTTTGAATTGGAATTTTTTGTTTAATAGTTTCAATTATGGAAGTTGTTTGTAGATGGATTTGAATCTTCCTCCGTTTTGAGGATTGGGATAAGTGAAATGAATTTCATTGTTCTATTATGATATGTTTAAGCTTTAATCCTTGGAATTATCTATTAACTTTTCCTTTTGGTTCGTTTGGTGTTTAGAAATGCGGTGTCCCTCCGTTGAGATTGAATTTTTGTAATATTTCGAATTTTTTTTTTATCCTCTTTCGCCTAGAACAATTGATAGGAATGTTGTTGAGTCCAATTTCAAGGTCACACAGATGGTACAAGGGTAAGAAATACGGTTTAAAAGAGATCTTTTTTTTATGAATGAACCTCAAATGCGATGCTTTCGGCCTTTCAATATGCTTATTAGGATGAATCTGTGGCATGGAGTTAGAATTTTGAACTTCACAGTTGCAATCTAAATGCTTCCGTGCTCTTGCAATACTGGATTGTGATGGCATAGATCGGTTCCTATTTTCATGCATATGTTAGCATTCTACATGCGTCCCTCTACTACGAGGTCCAAGACTAAGTATTGCGCGGGACATATGGGATTAATTGGGATCTTATAATTGTATGCTAGTGGCATACTATGAGTATTGAGCATTCATTCTGGATTCATGTTTCATGAATCAACAAGGTGCTCTTGCCTTGAAATAAATTTGATACTTGATAAGAATAAGATGCCAGTTTGATGCTGAATTTTACTTTTAATGCTTTTATAGTTTCCATAGCAACACATTCCTTGCCTAATACGTCCTCTGGTCTATCAACTACTTTACGTAGATTAACTATAAAATTTCTTTATAATTTTTTGAAATCACCCTTAATCAAGTTTAGATGAGATAGATGATGAGAGCGGTGAAGGAAGGTAATTTTCAGAAGTGAGTCATAAAAGTTTCTTTGGTTTGTAAAAGGTCTTGTATTAAAAACAATTAGAATGAATCATATAAATAGAGTTTCTCACATGACAGAGGCAGCACTTAAATCAATATGAGATGATGATATTGGTACTATGGGCATTTTATCATACTTAAAAACAACCTCAAGTACATATGCAACCTAGAAACATACTTGTATGTAGCTAAAATGGATGATTCAGAAATTTTAGCAATTGAATATTTGCTGTGTTCTGCTAAAAGCCTCCTCTAGCCTTTTTAATTAATCCATTAGGTATTGTGTATACAAATGGTGCCATGGGGATCCTGAAGTTCTGAATTTTCAACATGCATGGTGCAGTTTATAAACCATAATGCACTAGGCTTTTCTGTCAACATAGAACACTTGCATCATGTATAAACTTTGCATCATAACCTAGTTTGAAGTGTAAATAAAGGGAGGGACTAAGCGCTGTTACAATAAGAAATAAAAAATCACTTGTGGAAGGAACCCCAAAACAATCCTGCAAGTTGGGACATCTTCAAAAGTAACAAAAGGCAATTTTGTTCTCAAAACCCTGGTGTCCATTCCATCAGCAGATTGGTTGTACACTTCTGATTTTTGGAGTAAAACCAAAACTGATATGCCAATTCTTCTTCATAAACTGATGAATCTCAAGAACCGTTTAAAGAAAACAACAGTGCTAGGTACTTTCAGTATAGGATGGTGCCGTGCTGTGTATGTGTCTTGTGTACGTGTCTGTGCGTTGTTGCTTAATAGTGGTGCATGTTATTCAGTGCTTCTCACTTGCAAATTATGTAATTGTTTCTAGTCCCTCGCTCTAAAGTTAGTTACCTCATTTTTGACGAGCAAAGAAATATACTACTTGGAGTCCAAGTCTTGGACCCATTCCATGAACCATACAAACTATCTTGTCTCAAGTAAGTGCATTCTATTCTTCATGTTAATGGCACTTTCTATTACAAGTTAGACATTATGAACAATCATCTCTGCACCTTCAGTGATGTTTTCTTTACCTTGTGTTATGAATTATGATTGCCTTTAATGTAGCATTCAAAGAGGGTTGATTATTCTGATAATCAAACAGACAAACAGTTCATCCATGCCCATTTAACTGATCTGCACTTTTGTTTCCATGCAGGAACCAAACAAATGTCTCATCAAGACTACCTGGAGAGAGCTGATAAAGCAAGGAGCCAAAGACTCTCATCCGGCTCTGCTAAGTGATCTTATGCTTTGCATTTATTAAATAGCTTAATCCAGTTAGACTACTTGTCAATCAAAGCTTTATGGCGTGATAACATTTTATTATATCTCCCTTTTCCTCCTCCGGCTTTTTGTATGGCAGAGATGTTCTTCCTTCTTGTCATTCTTAGTGATGTAGTCCATGTAGCACTACTCATTGCTTTGCTCGTTTGCAAAATTTGATGGCTAACAGCTTTCCATTCAACTTCATTCTTTCCAGTGGCTTGGTTGATATATCTAACATGATTGGTAGTAAATACCAAAAATAAAGTGTACCTAAACAGCCAATGAATAATTTTTGGTTGGTGAGGATACAACTCATACTCTAGAAGTATAGGCTCGAACTTTGAATCCTGCTATGAGGCTTGTTAGACTTAGCTGCAAAATAATACCAAACTAATTTAAACATTTCAACAAAAAAGAGAAAAAATTCAACCCAAAAAAATTTTATCAATAAAAAATAGTTCGGATGTATTTGATTAATCATCTTGTATAAAGCTTCAAAATAATTTATACAAACAAAAAATATGTATTTAATGAGGAATATTAAAAAAAAATCTACATAATTTGGAACATTTTGCCATAATCTCTAAGGCATAGACACGGGTTATATGAGAATCATACTTTTGTTTTTTAATAAAACAAGATAGTATTATTATTTAATATAAGGTTAATGAGTAAAATGGACTTTGAATTTTTGCTCAAAAAGCGACATAGACTTTGAACTTTTAAAATGTATAAAATAAATTTTACACTTTTAAATTCGTAGAAAAATGAATCTTGACTGTTAAATTTTTTAACACCGTATTATTCATAGTGGGCCCTAATAAATGTTGACGTGTCATTATTAATTAGCACCAAAAATCTTAAACTATTAGTAATATTTTGGATCTTAAACTTTAAAATTTTAAGCAAATTACCCCCATCATTTATGTATAGAAAGTTAACTATTATGTAGACTAAATTAGTCTTAGTGTGGTTCACCGCGGTGAATGCATCGTTGATCGTGATGAATAACCTATAATTTTGTAAAATGATGTTTTTTTCTTTTTTTATAATATTTTTCAAACGATTGTTATCTCATGCTTCCGTAAACTCCATAATTTTGATTTAGTTTTATTTTGAATAATACTTATTTATTTAATGGTGAAAATTTAGGATGCCATTTGAAAAAAAGTTTAAATATCATAGAATTTTACAAACGATGTGAAAGCTGATGATTTTATTAATGAATTTGAAACTCAAATTAATCAGTTAATTAAAATTCTCTAATATTTAAACATAATTTCACTGTGAACAGTATTGTGTGAGCAGTAATTTCATTAAAAAATTAATGATCGGGATCTATTTTGCTCATTTAACCCTTTAATATATTGTACAAAAGTGTATCTACCAAGAAAAGTGGCATTGTTTGATTAAGAGTTGGTTTTGTCCATTTTTTTTTCTTTCCACTTCCTCTCCATCTCTCATCTCAGCCATCAAATTTATTTTTGAATGGTTGAGATTTAATGTTTTATAAAATCAATTTTTTAATTTTTTAATTATTATTAAATCATTAAATTCATGACAAAATAAATAAATTTAAGATATAATTAACTTTATCTAAACTACAATTCAAGATTTAAGATTATAATTAAAAATAAAAACTTAATTTTATAAACCATTAAATCTCAACCATTTAAAAAAAAATTTAATGGTTGAAATGGGAAGTGAAGAAAATAAAAAATGGAGAAAAGCCAACTCTGTCTAATGTAGGTTTTGTAACGGTAAGGGGATTGACCGTAATATTAGGAGTGAAAGAACGTAGCTAAAAGTAAGCCTCGTGGGGAAACAATAAACATTGAAGAGTCCCTGTTGATTATTAATGAAAATCAAAGCTTCTTGTAGTGCCAGCATCAGAATTTGAAGACGTCCCATGTTTTGTAACCAGTTTGTAGTAATTTGAGTAGACGACGTGGTTGCACCATTTAATCCAAAATCACATGGTTTTCAAGGAAGTTCTTGTACGTTGAAAGTTTGAATTCCATAATCCAGCTTTCACTTTCTGGCCAGTTGAGGTTACAAATTGAGCAATCCAACAAGGAATTTTTTTTTTTTTTTGATAAAGTAGAGCTTTGGTGAGTTTGATTTTGAAAGAGGCAAGGCATGCTTTCAGGTACAAGAAATGCCTATAAAAATATTTTTAAATTGCCTGTCAATAAGATATTCATATCAATAATAAAATTTGATCTCACAATCTTATAGATTATAAATAAATTCTTACTAACTAGATCAATTTTTATTAACATCTAATATGAAAATTGATTGATGTCATCTCTGACTTGCCTTTTTTTGTTAGTATCGCTCTTGAAGTGGCTTTATCAATTCATATTTTTGCTGGTAGAATGGATGAATGAATTCTTGTTCAAATTAGAAGCATTTTAAATGCACGATTACTAGGGGAAGTGAGATAGTTAAAATGAGTTATGCCCATCAAAAAGAAAAAACTTACATGTAGAGCTTGTTTGGTTTTGTTCTTATGTTTTTCTTTTTTGAAAAAACATAATTTTTTGTTCTTATGCTTTGCACTAGTTTTAATGCAGGTCTTTATACTTTTTTTTTTGTCTCAAATTCCTGTAGTTTTCACTATTTATAATATTGATTTCTATATTTTTACAGTAACATTGATGTGATACAAACAATATTAAAAATATTAATAAGTTCTCTGATACTGTTAAGTTTGTGCTAAGGGGTTAACTTGGTCCAGGGATGTAATTTTAAATCAGCAAAATTAAAAAAGGTTAAATTAGATTAAAAAAAACGCTGACATGGAATTAAAAAATACCCTCTTAGTATGAAACGATCAGCAATATATTAACAAGTACATTTTCTGGGCACAACCTGGGCACCAAACGACGTGGAAAAGAGAAATCGGGACCCAGTGACCCCACAACCCCAGGATGCCGGAAAAGAGTGTCGGATGATGCCTCCCAATAGTCAACGGTGGTGGATGATCATCGGACAATGTTAGCCAAGACCTCGACATTTGACACGTGCAACAGAGGTGAGGATCGCTCATTTGTCGTCTCTGTTCTCTGTGTGTTCTATCCCTTGAATCCAACGAGGCATCAATCGGCATTTAACTCCTCCGCACTTTGTCTTATGATTATTGATTTTGGAATGTGTTTATTGGCTGATCATTGCCTCTGGTTGTCGTCTGTATACACTTGGTCTATTATCCTCCACGCTTATCTTAAGTTCGTTGCTCTGCATTTTATATGGCTCTGTCTTTTGCTCTCTTTTTCTATTAAGAATGATTATTGAAGTTTTCCAATTTACTGCAAAGTATAATATGAACTTGGAGAATGAACATAATGACGGTAGCAAAGGGAAGGGTAGTGGAGAGGAGACTTTGTCAGACATTGATATTAGTGATTTTGAACATATTGATGATGGTTATTTTAACCAATTAGTTGATATTGGTGTTGGCCTTCGTGATATATTAGATGAAGTAGCAGGTACTCTCTCACATTTTTGAGAGATTTGATCCTAAAAAATATGAAATATTTTAATATTTTAAGATATAATTATAATGTTTTTTTAAAAGTGTCTGTAATAAATAAATCATTTTATATTTATTTTATAAAAAAATATCTCATTAAATAGGGATAAATATAAAAGATGATATTAGTTTGAAGACAAGTAATTACTTTATTGAGAAGTAAAATTTATTTAAAAATGTCTTATATTCTTTAACAGAGAGAGAGAGAGAGAGAGAGAGAGTAATTTACAATTAATGATAGCTCCACCTAATCAATTAGTTGATGATAGGAAGTAGGAACTCACCTGAGGTTACAAAGGAGAATATATTAGCTTTCTTATTTGATTATGAATCATGAGTTTCATAAAGATGTAGCATCCAAAGATGATGAGGATGTGATACGGATTAATGAGAGATATTGGGTGATTGGGGAGTTAGAGAAAGGTTAGAATAAATATTATTTTAAACTTATTTAAATTTTATTCATATATTTAGTTATTTAAATTTTATTCAGATATTAAATTATTTTGAATTGTATTTAGCATTATAAGTATATTTAATAACTCAAAAGCTAGCATGTCATGAATAAAACAGACTTTTAAGCACTTTGAAGATTTTCCTAATCATGGCTATTGAAAGAAGTATAAAGCAAGATTCTTATTCTATATTATTTTAATATAATTACTCTTTTATTTCTTTCTATTAGCTCTATGTTTTCTTATTAATATATAAAGTTAGATTTTAATTTTATATTTTAATAAAGATTTATCTTTTTCATTAAAGTTTAAGGATGTACTAAGAGAATATGCCTTACTTTAATTGATATGAAGTTTATAAATTATGATGAGGTTGGGTGTTGAGTTTAGTGTGCATAAAAGAAATGTAAACGATTAATGTTTGTGAATAAAGTTGATAGTCAATTGACATACCATTTAAAAACATTTTTGTCAAAACACATGTTATTTAGGCCAAAAGGATTTTTATTCTATATTATCTTAATATAATTACTCTTCTTATTTTTTTTATCAGCTCCATGTTGTCTTATCAATATATAAAGTTAGATTCCAATTTTATGTTTTAATAAATATTTATCTTTTTCATTTCTTTCAACTATCTTGAATCCTATCAAGGTAAAAGTGTGCCTATAAGGTAAGTATGAGAAAATACAATCCTTCTGGGATGCCAGAGAGTTTCAATTTAAGTTAAGCATTGAGAGTTTACTTCACTTAGTCAATTTAAGGATATATTAAAAAAATATGCTTTACTTTAATGGATATGAAGTTTATAAATAATGATGAGGTGAGGTGTCGAGTTTGCACACACAAAAATGTAAATGACTAATTTTGGTGAATTAAGTTGATAGTCAATTGACATATCATTTAAAAACATTTTGGTCTAAACACACGTGTTTAGGCCAAATGATTCTCATTCTATATTATTTTAATATAATTACTCTTCTTATTTCTTTCTGTCAACCCTATGTTTTCTTATTAATATATAAAGTTAGATTATAATTTCATATTTTAATAAATGTTTATCTTTTTTATTTCTTTCTACTTATCTTGAATCCTACCAGGATGAAAGTGTGCCTAAAGATAAGTATAAAAGATACAATTCTTTTGGGATGCAAAGAGTTTCAATTCAAATTAGACATCAAGAGTTTACTTCACTTAGACCGTTTAAAGATGTACTGAGACAATATGCCTTACTTTAATAGATATGAAATTTATAAACAATGATGAGGCGAGGCTTCATGTTTAGTGTACACAAAAGAAATGTAAATGATTAATTCTTGTGAATAAAGTTGATAGTCAATTGACATGGCATTTAAAAACATTTTAGTCTAAACACACATGTGTTTAGGCCAAAATAATTCTTGTTCTATATTATCTTAATATAATTATTCTTTTTATTTCTTTTTACCAGTTCCATGTTTTCTTATTAATATATAAAGTTAGATTCCAATTTTATATTTTAATACTGATTTATCTTTTTTATTTCTTTCTACCTATCTTGAATCCTATCAGAATGAAAGTGTGCCTAAAGGTAAGTATAAAAAGTTCAATCCTTCTGGGATGCCAAAAGTTACAATTCAAGTTAGGCATCGAGAGTTTACTTCACTTAGTCAGTTTAAGGGTGTATTGAGAGAATATGCCTTACTTTAATGAATATGAAGTTTATAAATAATGATGAGGTGGGGTGTCGAGTTTAGTATACATAAAAAAAATGTAAATGATTAATTCATGTAAATAAAGTGGATAGTCAACTTACATATCATTTAAAAACATTTTGGTCTAAACACACATGTGTTTAGGCCAAAATGATTCTTGTTCTATATTATCTTAATATAATTATTCTTCTTATTTTTTTCTATTAGCTCCATGTTTTCTTATTAATATATAAAGTTAGATTCTAATTTTATATTTTAATAAAGATTTATCTTTTTTATTTTTTTGACCTATCTTGAATCCTTTTAGTGTGAAAGTGTGCCTAAAGGTAAGTATAAAAAATACAGTCTTTTTGGGATACCAAAGAGTTGCAATTCAAGTTAGGCATCGAGAGTTTACTTGACTCAGTCAATTTAAGGATGTATTAAGAGAATATGGCTTACTTTAATAGATATGACATTTATAAATAATGATGAAGTGAGGTGTTGAGTTTAGTGTGCACAAAAGAAATGTACATGATTAATTCTTATGAATAAAGTTGATAGTCAATTGACATATCATTTAAAAACATTTTGGCATTTAAAAACATTTTGGTCTAAACACACATGTGTTTAGGCCAAAATAATTCTTGTTCTGTATTATCTTAATATAATTATTCTTTTTATTTCTTTTTACCAGCTCCATTTTTTGTTATTAATATATAAAGTTAGATTCTAATTTTATATTTTAATAAAAATTTATCTTTTTTATTTCTTTCTACCTATCTCAAATCCTATCAAGATGAAAGTGTGCCTAAAGGTAAGTATAAAAATGGATATGAAGTTTATAAATAATGATATGGTAGGGTGTTGAGTTTAGTATGCACAAAAGAAATGTAAATGATTAATTCTTGTGAATAAAGTTGATAGTCAATTGACATATTATTTAAAAACATTTTAGTCTAAACACACATAAAACTAGCTTCTTATGAGTGGATTTCAAAAAAGATAGCTAACATCTTGAAGACAAACAAAACATTAAAATATCTAACATTGTTATTGTATTAAGGGACCATTATATGGTTGATGTATCTATGTGAAAGGCATATTTAAGGCAAGGAGAAGGGCGTAGGTAACAATTGATGATGATTGCAAGGAGCAATAGCATTAGCTAAAATATTATTGTAATGAACCTAAGAGATGCAGCTTGTAGACAATTTTTTGTTTAGTGATTGAAAGACCATTGGAGAAGCCACATGTGTTTAAGAAACAAAAAAGAGGGGCAAATGACGATGCAACATCAAAGGCGAGGACAGAAAATATAAGCTTTAAATGTTCATGTTGTGAGAAGTATAGACATAGTGAAAGGACTTGTAAAGATCTCAATAAGCAACCTGCAAAGAAGCCTATGCGTGTTAAGTCCATTAATGCAACTCCTCAAGGGAACAATCAACCTTGGTTTCCGATGTCAACTTCTTATAGTTATGGAAATATGTGATGTTTTGTGGTACATGTTTTGCACATGGGATGTGACTTAAATGGTTCTTGGGATGACTAATTATCACTCTATCAAGACAAGTTATGACTTTATGTGCAATGGCTGCCTCAAGACCCGAGCTCAGTGGGGAAAACTAATTTGGATAAGAAAGAGAGAACAACTGATAGTAACCATTATCATATCATAAAAAAAAAAAAATACTACTTTAGCCACACACACAAAAAATCAAATACAAGCCATTAGACGAAGATGAGAGGTAATCTTCTCATATTTTTTAATTATGACAATAAAATATTTTTCTATATAGTTTAAATCCTCTATTAGTTTTCATCCATAAAAAAAATAAAATCATTTATTCTATGTCTACTTCTCTACGTTGTCGAGCGGAAGCATAAAAGGAACAACTTTGATTCCTTTTTTCTTAAGCCCACAAGCTATGGTATTTCTTGTCAGATCCGTTTGATCTCAATCTCACTCAAAGCTAAGTTAATCATTTGCCAATTGGGTCCATAGGAGATTGTGCATCTTGTATATTGTTCTCATTTGGACTGAAATTAGTGGGTTCATGTCCCTTTCGGTCCTTTTTTTATTCCCCCCCCCCCCCCAACCAACAAAAAAGCATCAAGTCAAGTATCACGTGGTCCCTTGTTTCATTATATAATGGGGTCCGTGCTCTGAATCCTTTCGTGCTCAGAACTCATAGGCCCTTTCTCCTTCACCTACATCTGCTTCCCTCTTCGCTGCCAGTTGGATTGACTTTCTTGGGCCCTTCTCCCAGATTTGCTCATCGTTTGAAGATGATATGGCCTTTGTCTTTAAAGGAACGTCTGCGTCTTCATTTCAAAAAAGTAATGGAAGGTCAGCATTTTATTATCTGATGTAACTTTTTTTATTTGATTAGATTAGTGAAATTTTATTAGATAGAACATGAATGACTTGATGTACTAAATTTATATAAAAATGTTTCCAAATTTAATGGTGTTAATGGACATGTTGGCATTCTTAATATTGTTTGTGTCACATCAAAATCCTTTTAAAATTATAAAAATCAAAACTTGTGTGCAATACAAGAACCAAAACTTATGTTTCTTTTTTATTTTTGAAAACTATTTTGTAAACCAATTTTCTACAAACTATGTTTTAAAAAAAATGAAAATGTATTTGATCATGTTAATTTTGAAAATAATTTTAAAATTAAAAAAATGATCAAAATGGTAGTTACTAGTGGTTAATAATAATGGGCTGTGATAGTGGTTGAGCATAATTGAAAATAATTTATAATAGTCAAACATTGTCTTTAAAAATAAAAAAAATGAAAACAACACTAAATTGTTTCCATCTTTAAAAAAAATAAAAAATGAGAACCTCTTTTAAAACATTTAAATGCAGTATGCTTATCCAAATAATTTTTAAATTTTTTTTAAAAGGAGACCAAACATGCCCTTGTTCTTGTCTACTAAAGTGCTTGTTTTCCTATTAAAATAAAACATATGAATCTTTCATAAATTATTTATTATATAAAAAATTTTATTATTAATATTTTAAAATTCATTTATTTTAATTTAATTGGAGAAAATTACATTAAATGTATAAGATTAACTGCTTAAATCAATCCCTAATTTGGAAAGAAGGGAATGGTCTCCTTATCCAAACAAAAGGAGCCTCTCCAACCAAACTAGGAGTAATTACTCAAACATACTTTTTTAAATCAAATTAATAGACCATAAATTTTAAACTTGGGGAAATGACAACAAAAAAAAAAAAGAAAAATAATAGTTAGATCTCAAAACATTGAATTAACGACAATCAAGTTCCTGACAATTTTTTTTGAAAATTAAGTTAAAAATATCAATCAAAGTAATTATAATTTAAGAAATTTCAATTGTAAATAAATATTTAAATATTAAATATAACTCTTAAATTATTTATAGCTGTTTTAATTGATATTTACAATTTATTTTTTTAAAAATTTTTTTTGAGCACTTAACTATTATTAATTCAATTATTTGAGACATGTCATTCTCCCAAAAAAAAATAAATTATCATAAAATATAATAATTATTATTTAGTCTTCATGAATTGTGTATCATTTTGGTTTTTGATCAAATAACATATTTTTCATTATTGTACATTAAGAAATGACTAATTTTATTGAGTTATTGATTAAAATAAAATAAAAAATAATTACTTTCTTTTTGCAAATTTATTGATCAATAAAAGTACAATTAAAGTAATGATTTTCATTGTACATTGGAATCAAAATCCCAGAATGTCATTCTTTCTATTTCATTTTGAAAATTTGGTTTGACTAATAAACTTAATAAATCGTCATGTGCAAGGCCCACTACGATGGCCGCCGGTGCTGGGGCTGGGGCGTCAATGGATCATTGACATTGAAGGGACACTGGAATTCGTAAATGAATTCAACGTAAAGACGCGCACCATTTGGATGGTTCCAGAGAAACTTAGAGCTACGGGCCTCAGTTACAGGCCTCAGCTTGTGGCCATGGGACCCATTCACAGGGGAACCGGAAGCGAACTGCAAATCATGGAAGACACTAAATGGCGCCACGTGTACCGGCTTCTTTCGCGTGCTGCCGCCAGTGAGCATAAGCGAGACTGGAGGGTCGCCCTTAAAGATTGCAGCGGGCGCCTGAAAAGCTTAGACGGTATAATTCGAGCCAGCTATGCCGATGGGGAGAAAATCAAATTGGAAGCAAAGGAGCTTGCCGGAATAATGCTACGTGATGGCTGCTTCCTCTTGGAGCTTCTGCACAGGCTCCACGAAAATGTCATCAGAGATCCGCCTCCCCGTGCCGATCAGATTGAACCTTCTCTGGATTTTACCGACGACAAGAAAAAGATCTTGCGTGTTCTCACTGATCTCACGCTGCTCGAGAACCAAATCCCTTTCCTTGTTCTCGATGTTTTGCATAAAAAAACTGGGCAAGGACTTCAACCCCTCGGACTTGCCGAGTCACTCTTTGGATGCAAGGTCTCCAGAGGTGACTTCCACGAAGGTGGTGTTCATCATTTCCTTCATCTCATGCACTCGTGCTCCCCGGATCCCTATGACAAAAACAAGAATGTGACATCCGTGAAAGCTAAACAAGAACTGAAGCGCTGCGCCAAGGAGCTCCAAGCCATGGGACTCGAAATTGATTCCAGCTCACCAACCATTAGAAGCTCTCCTCTCGGTAATGTTGAAGTAAAGGGCATATGGTTAGTGTTCATCCACAGTAGATGAACACTTACCACACACACACACACACACACACACACATATATATATATATTTTAAAAATAATTCTTATAGACTAAAATCTATTGTGGGTTGTCCCCAAAAAAAATTCTGATCATAATAAAAAATATTTGTGAACATAAAATTCATAATGAAATATAAGGTATAATATTTTTGGTAAATGTAAGAACTCTACTTATTATTTATTGTTTATATTTTTTATATGTATAAGATAATTAATTGTATTATAAAATATAAATTTAAATAATAAATCATAAAATAGAATGTTTTATTGCAATGAGATTACAAACTTAATTTATATAAATCATAAAAAAATGTGTATAATTTGATGTATAATTTTTATTATTTCAAATCTTAACTCACATGAAATAACAAATCCTATATAAAATATTCTTTAATTTTATTTTTAAAATATACATGATAATAAATTATAAAATAAAATAAAATTATATGGGATAAATATTGGCTTATTTTTGAAATTAAATTGAACATTGAAAAATTATATGTATGGCTTATAGTAAAAATGATAGGTAAAAGACCTATCATGACTTAATTGTATTGTGTATATATATATATATATATATATATAAAAGATAATATCACAATAATTTTTTAATTTTACTCTTAATAATATCACAATTAACATGTATAGTCAAAACTTTAATATGTATGGTCCAACCAATTTTTATTATGGAATAAATTATTATTTAAACTTTAATTTATGTAAATTAACAAAATATGTTATTTTGAGTACACAAAAATAAATTATTTTTATTTTTATCCTTTAAACATTTTTATCTTTCGAATTGTTACAAATGAATAGTAAAATAAATTTTAAAATAAAATAATTTTTATTTAAATTTAAATATGCATAAAATAACATATCACAAGTGCACAAAAAATAAGTTATTTTAAAATTTTCATTTTTTTTATTTTATGCTTAACCTTCAAATGATAAAAGATCCTTACAAATATTCAAAAAATATCTTAAATAAGTTTTTACAATACTTGTAAACAAGTAAAAAATATTCCGGTGCGTCAGCACGGGCCAAAATCTAGTTTATCTTCATTACTACTGAATTATTACTTAATTAGTAATTCACCTTTAAAATCTCGCTCATGTTGCAGACAACAAAACAGGAATTGTGGCTTCTGCGCTGAGGGAATTTGTGGAGATGTTCGATTTTAATATACATATGCAAGAGGACGAGCAGCTGAAAATCCCAACGCTGTGCATAAAAGAAGGAACGGAAGAGAAGTGGGGGAATTTCATTGCTTGGGAGCAGCTCGGATTAACAGGAATCAGCTACAAGTTCACCTCCTACGCGTATTTTCTCAAAGGCCTAATCTGTTCTGTTCAAGACATCGTACTGCTTAAATCAAAGAGCATTATTGTAGTGGATGAAGATTTTGGGATCAGCGACCAGAAATTACTGGCCTTGCTCCAGAATATCACAGCCGGGGCTGAAAATATGGATAACAGATACAGTGATTTGTGTGTGCAATTGAACGCAGTGAAACAGCGTAGTGTTCCTATGACAGGATGGTGGACCATGAAGCGGCATCGTTTCCAGAGTTTTCTAGAACTGCTAGGATCTCGGATCAGAAACACCATCAAAATCCTAGGATCTCAGATCAGAAACACCATCAAAATCCTATTTAACAAGTACATTCCTGACACGTGGATGCTCCTCAAGGTTGGGGCAGCTGCATCTCTTCTTGTCCTCACTGCTATTCAGACCATTTACACAGTGAAAACCTATCATGCCCCAACTGGCCATTGAGAGTTAAGAAAGGATCAGAAAAGCATGTGGAGTACAAATTCATGTCACTTTCTGAAATTTCTAATAATTTGCAGCCCTTATCTGTAATAATTATAATTCATAGGTCATGTCTTCTTCACTTGTCACCCTTTCAAGTTTCGATAATTTACAAGAACAATATATATATATATATATATTTGACATGATATAGCACCTAGCCTAGCTGATGGGAAAACATAACCAAATGAAGAACATAAAAGTATTGATTTGCCTTTTTGAAATGTATTCATAATTCATACGCATACACAAAAAGTCACTTGCTCACTCTGCTCCAATTATTGATCAGATGAGAGTGACTTTCGACCTACCGACACTATATACAAACACCAACCACTCCATACACATTGATTCAACTTTGAATTAGGAATCACACCAACCACCATATACATATGATCTTATCTGATCAACATGACTCAATTAGAATTAGTAAGAACACCAACCACCAAATAGATCTGACCGATGGATCCAATTTGACTTGAATTCGTAAGGACATCAACCAGTAGATACATCTCACCCCAACTTGAACTGGTTGAGTATTAACATGGCTTCTGAAGATTGAGAGCCATCAAAGCGACAAGGAAATGATCAAATGTAGGGATTAATATGAGAAGAGTAGTCCCGGATCCCAGCTCCTTCCCATCCCATCCACTCTTCCCACAAATCCCAATCTGGATTGTTCATTCCTCTCATTGATTCATCATTCTCTCCATCTCCATCATCACCATACATTTCACTTCCATTTGCTCCTCCTCTCAAATTCTCCATCACTATCTGCTTCCCTACATTTTCAACATAAGTTGTTGCTTTCATTCAAATTCAACTAACTAACAATAACATGACCAAATCAAATACATATATATGGCAGATATGTGCAATCGTGTTATATATATATATATATATATAACATGATCATGTATATATGTGTGGCAGATATGTGTAAGCATTGGATGAGATAAGTTTCATCCACTTAACCATTCCATTACTGTTCTCTTTCAACATTAGTTCCAACAATCAACTGCAAATTTGTTCAACAATTAACTCCTATTCACTTCTTCAATCTTCAGCAGCTTCATTTTTCACAAAAACATAAAACCGCAAATTTGTGAAAGCAAGATGAATGTCCAGTAATTATATATGTACATATATATACTCTCTCTGGTCTTAACTATAGGGCAAAATTTTAAAGACAATCCTAATTATAGGGAAAAATTGTGGTGCTTAAAACTCCTTAATTGCAATAAGTTATTGGCATCCTTTGAAATCCTATACATCAATTTATTATAGTAATAATTCTAAAAATGGGTAAAATTGGAAATTTATGTATTTTTAACAAATTTAAATATATAATTAAGACCAAAGGAAGTATATATACACATCAAGTGACTGATCTTATCTTCACTCTTATGGTTCTGCAATGAGTAATGAATCATACATGCCACTGATGCAATATTAAATATTCAATTCGCTACAAAAACAAAAACATGACAATCACAGAACAGCCATTGAATTCGATAAGGAGCTACTTCAGAAGCAGTAGCTCTCTCTCTCTCTCTCTCTCTCTCTCAATTTCAATGTAGTGCAGAGAAATGATTAACCGATATTCAATTCACCTACAGAACTATGAAAATTCTAGAGAAGGGATTAAGATAACTCACATCATAAGCCTCATTGATTTCGTGAAACTGTACACCACAATTGCTTCCTCTGCATACATCTGGATGAAACTGATGCATAATTAAAAAAAAAAAAAACCAATCAGTATTTTCCATTAGAAAAAGAAATGCCAATATAACCAAACCCTAGATATTGGTGAGACGAATAACTTTAAAGTGTAGACCCAAGAACGAAAAATCAAATTGGAAGCCAAATATCAAACATCATGCGTGCATACAACAAAAAACCCTAAACTTCTGGATAACAATTATGGCACTGAGATTGAGAATCAAACCTGCAAGGCAAGCTGTCTAAAAGCTTTCTTAACCTCAGATTCAGAGGCACCAGGCTGGATTCTTAAGGTCTTATAAGGATCCATCACAGAAGAAGAGGAAGAACAAGAAATCTTAACTCTGTTCAACCGTTTCTGCTTCTTTTCACTGTTTTTAAATTGAATCCAGGAAGAACATGACCTATTACTACCAATAACTCCAGCAACGGAAGCAGCCATTGTAACTCGTCAGAAATCAACAAAATCAGAAGAGAAAAAACCCATAAATACCTAGAAGAATCTTTGGCTATAAATAACAAAGCTATGATCTTTTCTGAAGGAAGATTTTATTTAGAATGGATCAAAGGGCACGCACGTTGATTTGGTCTTTGATGGAGACGGCGTGTTTGAACCCTAAAATGTGGCTTCTTTGAAAACTCAAATAATTGAGGAATAGATCAAAGGATAAACAACAAACCCACTAGAATCTAAAGACGAAGGCGAGATATTAAATATCCGTCGAGAAATTATATTGATTGTTGAAGAGGGAACAAAACTCAGACATTTTATACACATGTAGATAAAAATTGCAGGCGAAGAGAGAGATTCCTGGGCTTTATCCGTTTTGTTTCATAATTGGTCAGAATTGGACGCGGAAGATTGTTCTTTCGGTTTATTTGGAGGTATGTTCCTGGTTTGTATGAATTTACTAATTCAACCCCTTCTATTTTCTGTAAATACTATAGCGGTTATATTTATTTTGACATAATAGATAGATTTGTAAATTATTTTTGGAGGGTAAAGAAACAGGCAAAAGGAAAGAAGATGACATTTACTTTATTTGTTGGATCAATATCTTCTTATTAAGAAGTCATTTTAATTATAAAACATTCAAACTGAAAATATGGAAAAACTTTCATAACTTTATACATTTAATTTACTTTTTAAAATCAATTCAAACTATGCACATTTTTATTCATTTCTTATCCTATAAATAAAGTTAATTGTTATCACTTTTGAATCATTATTAAATTTAACAATGTCAGTCTTTTTTTCTTTTTAAAAAATAATTATAATGCTATATGACTATGATCAAATCAAACAAAGCCTGGCGGACCAAAATCCCATATGATCCACTTCTTTCTTTTTTTTATTCGCCAAAAGAAAAAACGAAATCAGACGAGGTCAATGTTAATTTGTTTTTTGAATAAGATGATTCATTGCTCAAAGATTACAAATTAAGCTGGAGCTAACTTAACAGCTTCTCACCATCCATTACTTTCCTATAAAAAAGTGGTGGTTTATTAAAAGTGTGAAAAACACCAAATCTGTCAGGCAATGTTTTAAGGGAAAATGATAATTAAGGATCTGTTAAGAATATTAATTTTAATTACGGACCGTAAAATTTTGAAATCTCAATTAAGGATCATGGTCCTTAATTATAATTAAAAAAATATAATTTGTGAGGTGGGATTCATTATTGCCATTTGAGAATTCACTAACCCAATTTGAGAAAATTTATAACGTATATTGTGAAAGCATGAAACTTCACTTGAAAATTGAATGTTTAACAAAAAGTGCCAGTTGAAAATTCACTAACTCGACTTGAAAAAATTTCTAACATATATTGTGAAAACATGAAACTTCACTTGGGAATCGATTATTTAATAAAAAACACCAATTTGAATAAGTTACTTTTTATTAATGATTCTTAAGTGGGGTTTCATTTTTTCACAATATACGTTAGAAATTTTTTCAAATCTAGTTAGTAAATTCTCAAGTGATGCTTTTTGTTAAACATTCCATTTTCAAGTAGGGTTTTATGTTTTCACAATATAGTTAGTAATTTTTTCAAGTTGGGTTAGTAAATTCTCAAGTTGCGTTAGTGAATCTACCTCACAAATCATATTTTTTTTATCACAATTAAGGACCATGGTCTTTAACTCTGATTTCAAAATTTCACGATCCGTAATTGAGATTAATGTTCTTAGCAGGTCCTTAATTGTCATTCTCCCATGTTTTAAAATCTAGGACATTAAGTAAAAAAAAAAATGTAACGATTGACAACTTCTTATGGTTTATTTGATTCAACCGGTGATATAATAATTATATAAAAATATTATATTTCTTCCGTTTAAAAATGTTAGACATTTTTAACTGAATTTTATCTTAATAAAATAGTTACATACTTTTAAACTAACCCTATCTTTTCATATTTATCTCCATTAAATACTCTACAATAAATATAAAGTCATTCATCAATAAGGTCACTTTTGAAAAAAAAAAAAGCAATGATTATATCTCAAAATTAAAAATATCTTAAATTTTTAAATATCCAACTCTTTAAAAAATATCTTACATTTTTTAACATAAGGAATATGTATATGCATAGATGCACGCACACATAATAACACTTGATAAACACAAGTACACAAAATAAACGCGGGATGCTAGCAAAAAATGTTACATAAACATAGTTAAAAATATCTAATAATTAATACTTTAAATGTTTTGTAGTGATTTTTAGTTTAAACATAATAATCAAATCATAATATCAAATTTTTTTGCTACAATTATAGGATAGATGAAATTAAATCCCACAATTAACTTAACTTAGTCCTCTATCGTCAAGGCTCATGAATTAATTTATTATAAAAAAAACGAAATCCCAAAACTGATAACTGCCATAATATTTTTCAATAGAATTAATATTAATATTAACATAATTTATTCATTTTGGGATTTCTATCACCAAAGCGTATGAGATACACTTCTTCCACCTTCACTCTCGGCTCCCAAGACCTTCCTTTCTTCCCTCTAGCTTCTCGTTTCTGACTTTATTCACTCCTGAGGCTTCATTGTCCTCCCTCCACTAGTTCCATCTCTTGCCTGTGTCTCTTGATCTTTCTTTCTTCGCTTTAGTTATTGTTCCCACAGACGAAGGATGACGATGAAGATTAGAGAAGAGATTATAAATCAAGGTCAGTGTAATGAAAAACCAAGACGGCATCACAGCAGGTTGTAGTCGCACAAAGAGTAGTAGACAGCAAGAGTAGCGAGTTGCAGACAGGAAGAGTGGAGCAGCGTTGGAATGATCAGTCAAAGCTTGAGGGAAGAAAGGAAAGTACAGAGAAGAGTGTCAGATGACGTCAAAGAATGGTTTTTGGGAATTAGAAGATGATTTCAGACGACCATTAGAACCTCTTTCAACCAGCTCCAGGTTCCTCAAAAGT